TGCAACAGAGTTTAATAAATATCTGTTGAAAGAAGGGACAGAGAATAGGGCTTTTCCAGCCCACCCTTATACTCAGGTGCTAAAGAACTGGTTAATTAATAAATTTGTTGATAAATCATCTAGACTACATATCACTACTAGCAATTTTAGACTGGAGGCAGTATGTCTCAGTGTATAATGTTGGACATGGAGTAAGTAACTTCTTACTAGTTGTGGACTGGGGGGCAAGTCACTTAACTTCTCTCATCCTCAATTTTCTCATCTATAAAATGAGGATAACAATAGCACATACACCCAGATTTATTGTGAGGATCAACTGATATAAAATGAAATAAACACATGAAGAGCTTTGCAAACCTTAAAGAGCTACATGAATTTCAGCTATTACAACTAATAGTAAAAGTAGCAGTAGTAGTAGTAGCAGCAGCAGCAGTGGTAGCAGTAATAGTAGTAGTAGTAGTGGTGGCGGCAATGGTGGTGAGTGACAGTGGTAGTCTACAAAGTACATAAAATATGAATTCTTGAAAGAAAAATAATGTTACTACAGTTCTGGATTTCTGAACTATATTTTTTAATTCTTACCAGGATAGTCAAGGGGCTGTCATTATTGCTTATCTTATTCTGGGCAATATGTAGTCTTCATTCACTTGCTTATGTTTGTTTCTTTTTCTGTCTGTGGATTGTCAGGGGTCACTCCTTTGATAGTTGTAGGTCTCATTTAGGAATCTCTGTAGCACTCTGGGCCTTAATAAAATCAGCACAACGTCACCTGCAGGACTTTAATCACCTGTTAGGAATCTCTTGTTAGGATTCTTTGAAGGCCCTCCTCTAGGAAAGTGGACAACTCGATAAATAAATGTCTCCTTTGTGCCTTGCTCAATACTGATAATCCTGTAATAATCTATTGATAATCCTGTAATTATCTAAAATATCTCTGTGGATGCAGCTATCAAAGAATACTGTATGATCTTAACATATCATATGCAGGAGAGCCACCTTGTTAGAAAAAAGCCTTTAAGACAGAATTTTCCTTACAAAGACAAATGATTTTACTACAAACAATAGGAATACTGAGATTTCATATTCTCTGTACTTTTCTGTAGATTTCATGTCTAAGAAAGTATGGCTTGATATCAAACATCATTTATTAACTTATCTATTTGCTTTTATATATATATATATATATATATATATATTTTAGGGGGGGGAGGCAATGGAGGTTAAGTGACTTGCCCAAGGTCGCACAGCTAGTAAGTGTTATGTGTCTGAGGCCGGATTTGAACTCAGGTCCTCCTGAATCCAGGGCCAGTGCTCTATCCACTGTGCCACCTAGCTGCCCCCTTATTTATATTTATATTAAGAATGTTCATGCACATGCAGGTCCCATAATATAAAAATACTAATAGGAGTACTTTTGCAGTTATCAAAAAATTTAAAATGAAGTAGATAATCATTAAGCAGGGCCTAGGCGAACAAATTACGGCAAATGAATATAAAGGACTATTTCTGCATTGTAAGAGATGACAAAATGATGAATTCAGAGAATCACTGGAAAACATATGACACTGTATAATGTGTAAGAGTGAAGTAAGCTGAAGCAGAAAAGAAATCTACATAATGATAGGCTTCATCCCCAACCTCTCTTCCCTTCAACATTTTCTATTATCGTCAAGGGCACCACCACCCTCCTAGTCCCCTGGACTCCTTCCAATGGAGACATAATTCTCAACTTCTCACTATCTCTCAGCTCTCACATCCCATTTGTTACCAAAGTCTGATGATTTCACCTTTGCAACATCTCCCCCAAGTGACCCCTTCTATCTTCTCATGCCGTCCCTCACCTCCTCACGTCAGTACTCTTGCAATAGCCACCTCCTTGGGGCATTCCCTGCCTCAAAGTCTCTCTCTACTCCAGCTCATCCTCCACTCAGGCGCTGAAGTGACTTTTCTAAAGAGCAGGTCCAGCCGTGTCACAGGCCAGGTGGTGCCGAGGATAGAGAGCTGGGCCTGAAGTCACAAGGCTCATCTTCCTGAGTTCAAATCTGGCCTCGGACACTTACTAGCTGTGTGACCCTGGGCAAATCACTTAACCTTGTTTGACTCAGTTTCCTCATCTGTAAATTGAGCTGGAAAAGACATGGCCAACCACTCCAATATCTTTGCCAAGAAAACCCCAAACAGGATCATGAAAAGTTGGACATCATGAACAACAACAAGAAAAATCGTGTCACCCTCCCACTCAATAAACTCTAGTGGCTCCCTATTTGGTGTTCAAAGCCCTTCACAACCTAGCCTCGCTCTCCCTGCCTGCTTTTCCAGTCTTCTTACACCCCACCTTTGCCCCTCACCCCTCAACCCATACTCTTAGATCAGGAGACACTGGGCTCCTTGTCGTTCCTTGGACAAGATATTCCATTTCTTGGCTTGAGGCATTTTCATTGCCTGTCCCTAATACTGGAATCTTCTCTCTCCTCATCTCTGCCTCCAGATTTCTCTGGCTTCCTTCAAGTTCCAGCTGAAATCCCTTCTACAGAAAACCCTTATGAATCTTTCTTAATTCTAGCTCCTGCCTTCTCTTGACTATTCACTATTTATCCTCTCCATGGCATGTTTATTCATAGTCATTTACATGCTGTCTCCTCCATTAGACGGTAACCACCTTGACAGCAGGGACTATACGTTGCATTTCTTTGTATCCCCAACTCTTAGCACAGTGCCTGGCTCTGAATAAATGTTTATTGACTGACTGACAACACAAGTGAAAAGAACAGTGCAATAAAGCTGAATGCTATATAACTATAATGACTAATCTTGATCCCAAAGGACAGATAAAGAAATTCATCTGTCTTCTTTCCTTGGAGGTAGGAGAGGATGTGAGTGTAGAATGAAGCATACATTGTCAGACATAGGAAAGTTGGTTTTCCTTAGCTGTTTTTCTTTAAAATGACTTTGACATAAAACAAAGGGTACAATAAAACTTTAAAAGCAAACAAAAAAAATAATAGTGATAATAGTGATAACTAGGATTTATAGAGTGCTTTATGGCCTGCAAAGCACTTTATAAACATTTTATCCTCACAACAACCTGGGTTGGGGGGGGTGGTAAATGATCCTCACCTATAGATTAAGGAACTGAGGGAGACAAGTTAAGTGCTTTATCTAGGATCATATAGCTGGTAAGTGTCTGAGGCTGGATTTGAACTCAGGTCTTCCTGACTCCAGGTCCAGTACTCTATCCACTGTGCTTCCAAGCAACTAAGGATATAAGCATATAGGCTGGTAATCACCAACTCCTTAATCACTACTTTTTAACAGTAGTAATATCCAGATAATACTAGAGTTGGCCCGGGCAACTCTCTAAAACTGCAATTTGTGAATCTGGTACTGATCTGCACTGGTAGAGGGAGTTTCCTCAATGGGAGTTCCCTGTACTACAGAAGTCACTGATTCTGTCCAAACAGTAATATATACAGGGTGCCCTAAAAGACTTTTGAGACACCCCATACATGTGTATATATACATATATGTGCAAGAATGTATATAAATATGCTATATGTGTATATATACATATACATGTGGGTATATATAAATATATGTGTATATTATATATGTATGTGTGTGTATGTGTGTATATATATATATACACATATATATATGTAATCTATAGAACCCATAATTTTCCCCAGCCTTTCAATATCTTTCCCTCTTTCAGATACCTTGAGAATTCCCTCAAAACCTCTAGCATGGATTTCTACCTATACTTGGATTGGTACACCAGTTCTTCCCATCTTTGTCTTCTTAGAACTATTTCCACTTATTCCAAAAGCATATCAAGTACTAATATTGGTTATAAACATAGCAGATCCATTATCATTGGTGAAGAAAATGTTAGAGGAATGCTGACAGGTCTTTTCTATTTTTCATCTATTTGTTGTCTTCTTCCGAGTTTCATCTTTAAATGTTCTTTGGATGAACTGGCATTACTAGATTCTGATGGAAAATCCATTTAGGAGCAGTAAAGTTGCTATATGGGCACCCCAATTGATAGGTTTGAAAGCAGATTTTGTTTTCTACTTGCTACGGTCTTAAACTTCTAATGGACATTAAAATATTTAGAGGAGAAATGCTCAAAGGACAGACCACCCTAATGTGGTGAAGATTAAGAGAGAATGTAGACATCTTTTATTGTAAAAGAGAGGAAACATATGTTGGACATCTTCAAGTTCGGGCTGTCCTAGTCTGTTTCCCATGAAGTGGACAGCCCAAGTTAGCAGATTCGTCTTCAAAGCATTTTTTTCTATTTGCCTTTGATGAACAAATTAATCATATTAGAAAGAGTAGAATTCACTGAAATATTAATCTAAGACCAAACCAGAAGGAGATGTGCACCTATTTCCCTCATGTTTCAGTTTCCGACGACTTCTTTCTGGAAAGCTCCAGATGTCTGGTGGTCTCACGCTGAACTCCTGTGGCAGGTACTCATTTCCATTCAATGCCAAAGTATTTTTTAAAGTATTGCTTTATATCCTTTGGGAAATCAAATTTAAATTAATCTTAACAGTTACTATAAGAAATGTAAGTTGGAAGAAGCTTAGCACTGTCTTTCTAGTATATAATAAATACCATTTGAGAGAAAATGATATCTCAGGATGAAATAAGAAACTTCTTGTATTCTTTAAGGAATATATTCTTTACTAGGATAAATGAAGATTTCCCACAGAAATTTCTATAAATGTATGTTTGATAAAGAAGGAAGACTTTAAGTAAAATAAGCAAATTGTAACCTTAATGACAATTCAAATAACTTTTATCTTCACAGTGCTTTAATTCTAAATTTTAAAATGGATATAAAACTAGTTTAATATTTTGTAAATCAATTTATTTTGTTGTTATTGGAAAATGAGATACTAATGATAGCATTCTTTATTTTTGAGGGGACACTATGCATGTAGTTTAGTCAATTCCTCACTGCATCAATTACTTAAGAAAAGATAATTTACCTGTTTTGAGAGACAGTTAGAATCTGTAATAAAGGAAGCCAATACGAGGAGATTATTTCCAATGTTGAAATACTGTTGTCATCCAAGTACAATTCTCTGAGCAGAACTTGATTCTCCAGATATGGAAGCTACATTTAAATTTCATTTACAAAGATAATTAATTTATTCATTCAAACTTTAAATTTTAAAATAAACTAATAAAAATACCACATTTATTAAAATAAAATGTTTATTAATTCAAAATGCCAGTCTTTCTCAATATAAATTATAAGGTTGACAGTAATGTTTTTCATGCTATCCCTTAATTTTTTAAAAAAGATGACTTAATTCATAATTATAATTATCACTTGCTAAACAATGTCTCATACTTAAGAGAAAAATTGCTAACTCATTTGTCTCATACTTATCAGAAATATCATATGAGAAAAAGGTGTGATTTAATGTCTAATACTGTATGAAAAATAAATACAAGACTAATTCCATTTGAAATAGCAAAACTACACTGACTTTTTTAAGTCAGAGAAATCCATTTTAGTTTAAAATAAAGGAAAAATTTATTACCGATTATGACCACAAAATAATAATCAGGGATAAAAGTATTTAAAACTACTAAAACAATAAGGCTATCATGCTATACAGTTACACAAGGAAAATTACATATATATTTATCACTAGTGTAAAATAATTTACCTCAGTTAGGTAATTTCCCTGTAACTTCAAAATCTGAAGTAAACCACAATCTTTAATTCCTTCAACTTTAGTAAGATTATTATAAGAGCAGTCCAAGTACATAATAGTAGGAACACTGGAAAGACCTCTGGTGCTCATTAGCTGATTGTGATCCACAATTAGTTGCTGAAGAGATTTCAAAGATTCTAATCCACCTGAAAGAAAAGTTGCTAAGTAACATCAGTGATACTATACAATCTTTCAAATCCTAAGTGTGGTTCATTTTCTAAATTATTATCTACTATATTTCTGAAATTTTAAGTTAGGATCTATTTTAATTTTTTCTAATTTGTTTTTAACAAAAGTTATTAATTTTTTATTGTAAGAGTATAATAAAATCATAATTTGAAATGAGTATCTTAATTTTTCTGAAACTTGTCAAATCGACAAGCATTTATTAAGTGCCTATTATATGCCAGACATTGTGGAAATTTTAGAACATGGTAACAATTTAATAATACAAGATTAAATAAAATAATTCTTTTTTAAGTTACCAATATGGCACTTCTACCAATATTGGTAGAGGGGTATGAAGTAAAGAGCAAGGAGAATTTTTTAACTGTCTAAAATATTTGTTGTGCCATTTTCTATGCATTTAGTTAATTCTTTTTTTCTTAAAAAAGTTGCCATTTTCCAATGACTAGTTACCCCCACCTCTCATCCCAACCCTGAACACTACCTTCTGACAAATATATTTAAACCAAACAATACATAACATTGACCATGTCAAACAATGCATGACTCCTCTTCTGCACCACGGAACACTGGTTGTTTATCAATCCTCACTCTTGCCAATCTTCTCCTATAAAATAATTTGCTGACGACAATTTTTACTCCTGTTTTTCATAGTTCCTCATTAGCTATTGTAACCTACTCACACCCACCATACTTTTCTCCACTGATTTCTCTCCCTTTCTCTCTGTAATGCTTACCTTTAGTTCTGTGGTGTTCCACATCTTGCTGCCATATAGCAACTTCAATAAAATATTATCATTCAAAAGATGGGTCTTTGGTTTCATCAGACACTTGGAGTCAATAAAATAATTTTGACATTTCTCAAAATTTAGCCAGTCCACTCTTCTCATATTCAACACGAGCCCATCATATCATCCTATCCATATTATCTGTCCCAGACACTCATCTACCCTATAAAATCGAGGCAACAGCCATTCTTCATCTACCTGGTTTTCCTATGTAAGTGGACAGGTAAACTACTCTGAATGACTACAGCCCACCTCTAGAAAGCTCTGCAGTCTTTTGGGCTTTGATGCAATCAGCACAATGTCATCCTTAAACAAAAGTATATAAAGGGCTTCATCATCCACAGGGAATTTCTCCAATCCAAGCACTGGATTATTCCGATGAATATCTTTGCCAGGTATATATATACATATATATATGTATGTATGTTTTATATATATACACATACATACATACATACATACATATATATATATATCTGTTTTATGACCCACCTAACATTTTCTTCCAGGGAGTCATTGAACAGAATTGTTTCTGTTGTTGTTTCTTCTAAGGAACTTTGAATGATCTTGATGACTCAAAGAGAGTTACAAGGTTGTAAAATAATCTGTAGAATGTTATTCTAGCAAATCAAATTCTGATCACATACTCCCTTTACCATAATTATGTAGTTATATCACTTCTTTCTCATTAAAGAGTAAATTATCTGAGAATCAGGGTTGTGTCATTTTTATCTTAATATGCTGAGCACACAGTACAGTTCCTAGTACACAGTAGACATGTAATGAATATCAAGGTGTGCCACTAAGAACTCTGATTCTGGAAAGAATAACTAAAGAAAATTGTGAAACCTTTCTTTGCAAGTATTTAAAACTTTATCTAATGTTCTAACAAGCCAAACTAACTGTTTTCTTAAAGTAATTTCCAACTCTATGAAAAAAAAATATATATGTATGTGTGTATATTCACAAACATATGACATATATTTTTATTCAGAAAGTGCCAATTGTGTAATTTTCAGCAATTGTGGAGATTATTTGTAAGTTAAATATTTTCAAATGTTGTATCAAGTATATTTCAAATAGTGTTTCAAATATTTTAAAAACATTTCATATATATTCTTCATTTTTAGAGTCAACATATACTCTAAAGATTAAGATATACTTTCAAGTTAATTAAACTTAAAGCTTTTTAAATTACTTACCTGAATTTACCCCAAATACTATAAAAGAATTTCACTAGTCTAGGATTTCTCATAAGACTTTTCAATTTAGTGTGGGAATATACATGAGCTATTTCACCAGAAAGATGGATGGATCATCAATGGGTAGGTGACTTTTAAAAGTCATAAAGTACAGAAAAAAAAACTAATATAGAGAACTGACACACTGATTTAATTCTGAAAGAATTCAGAACACTTAAGAAATCTATTTCCTGTCTTTTGCAAACCCTGCCTTTCTCTCATTTTCACTTTCTTTTTTTTTCCCTCTGCATGAACTTTCCCTCTCAAGAAACCTCAGGATCCTAGAACATGACAATTTGAAGGTGCCTTAAATTTTTTCTGGTTTAATCCTCATCTCCCTCCCTCAATAAGACTCGTAAACTCCTTCTACAACATCCTTAACCAGCAGTCTTTAACCTTTGCAGGAATACTTTCAGTAACAAGGAATTCAGTATTTCATAAGGCAGACTATTTTTTTCTGATATCCCTTTAATTATTAGAAAGTTCTTCCTTAGACCAAGCCAAAACTCTCAAAATTTTTCTATACATAATTACTACTAGAATGGAAATAGAAACATTATTCAAGTTTTAGAGGAAGAGAAAAGAAATTCCAAAAGGGAAATCTTTCAAAAGTGCATAGCAAAATTTAATTATTAACAAATTTATAAAAAAAATTCCAAAAATGCATGGGTAAATTTTAAGGGTACTGGAAAATGACTGCAGAAAAAACATAAATTTAAAAAAACAAATGACTATTTTGAAAATTATACTCTATTAAACATATTTAATCATATAAATCATATTACTGGCTCTAAATATTAGCTAAATGCTGCCATTGTAATTCTTGCTGTTATCATGATGTTTTTGGATGAGGAAAGAATCATATAAAAAGGAGGAAGAAAAACAGTCAAATTTGTGAAAAAAAAAATACTAGGAGAAAACGAAATTAAAATTCACATAAAAGAACTTCCCTGTAATTAAAAATGGCTCTTCTGCTTATAGAGTAAATTGTCTGGTGTGGCTGGGGAGCAGGCTATTCTGACTTATTAATATCTGATTTGAAGAAAACTAAATCTTCCATAATTCAGAAGATACCTCAGGATATTCTAGGATGTCATCATGGAGGCCACAAGTATCTGGTTCGCAGTGAATTTTGGTGAGGAAATAATATGTATCAGGCACTGTGCTAACCACTGTACAAATAGGCTCAAAGTTGATCCTCACAACAACCCTGAGAGGTAGGTTCTATTATTATTATCCTCATTTTACTGTTGAGGAAACTGAGACAGAGAGAGGTTATGTGATTTGACCTAGGTCACATACCTAGTAAAGTGTCTGAGGCTGTATTTTTTAATTCAGATCTTTCTGACTCTAGTCCCACCATTCTATCCACTGCACCACCTAAACTGGTTGATGAAATGCCACATGAAAGACATTTTATTGTATATTTACTTCAAAGTTGCTAAAGTCAATGTTCCATAGCTATCTCCGTCAAAAAGGTTTAATATTTTATTTAATCTAGCAATACAGATCCAGAGCTAATGTAAAATGGACACTTTTCATTAGATTATATTTAGCATTATTTATATAATTAGTAATTATAATATAATACTAAAATACTATTACATTTAAGACTTTGTACTCATTTCCATAGTAATTAGTATTTATTCTTTTTTTTACAAATCAATGAAACCATAAACATATCACTTTCTGTACTATCATATCAATAAATTAACAAATATTCATTAATCATTTACCACATGCCAATCTCTGTGCTAAGTACTAAGGATGTAAATATGAAAAATGAAACAAGTCCTACTCATCCTAATGTTCTGTTTGGTTAAAAAAAAAAAGTTTGTCTTCATTTCATGGAAAACTATTGTCTATTTGTGAAGCAAAATTGTAGAAGTGGGCAAAAATGCTAATAAATAAAAAAAACTTTAGGAAAACATATTTCTTCATGTATCAGTGACATCAGTAAATATATTTTCTCGGGCTAAGTTTTTAATTGAACAGAACTGACAAAAGATTGTTATTAAAAAGTGTTACCTACTCAAAGCTTTAAATAATTAAGATACAAATATATAGCATCATATTGGCTGATGATTTTAGAGACTTGGGGGAGGGAAGGATATTACAATAAAATAAAGACACCAAAGCCTATGTACTTATTAAAGCTGAATATTTGGTAGACATTAAGTAAATGTTTGTTGAATGTGTTAAACAATATCATCTCAATAAATAATTTTTAAATAACTGATTTTACTGCACATGCTATATAAAGTATGATTTTTTATAATGTTAATAATTACACAATAATAATCTCAAAATTGGAAGTATCCTCCAGTAGAAGGGGTCATTTAGTCCAAACAATCTACATAAAAACCTCCTTTCTACCATCCTCAACAAAGTTCAATAGCCTCCAGTAAGGGGAAACTCACTAGCTCCCATGGTAGCCTATTCTGCTTTTGAATAGCAATAATTGTTAGGCTGTTGTTTCTCACCTTGAAACCGGGTTTTTTTTTTCTGCTTTTATGGTATTAAGATAAATGGGAAGGATAGGGGACTTCATTGGGGAGGAAAAGATAAGGAAGGAAAGGAAACTCACTATCTGCCATAATGGAAGAGGGGTAGCATGAAATGAAGAGTATATAAATATGGAGGAAAGACAGAGAGAATGAGCACCAAATGAATGTCACAGTTTCATGTGAATCAAAATAAAGAAAAGTTGAATATATTCATTTTACAGTGGCAAAAAACTGGAAACTAAGGAAACACTTACCTATGTCAATTAAGTGGCATAGTGGATAGGGCGCTAGACTTGGAGTTAGAATCCTAAGTTAGAATCCTGTCTCAGATACTTACTAGCTGTGTGATACTGTGTGACACTTTACCTCTGAACCTCAGTCTCCTCATATGCAAAATGCTAATAGCATCTATCTCACAGGGTGG